AGAGAGAGAGGGGGGGCAAAGAGAGGCAGAGAGAGAGAGAGAGGCAAAGGGAGAGGGGCAAAGAGAGAGGCAAAGGGAGAGGGGCAAAGAGAGAGGCAAAGAGAGAGAGAGACGCAAAGGGAGAGAGGCAAAGGGAGACAGAGAGAGACAAAGAGAGACAAAGAGAGAGAGAGAGAGACAAAAAGAGAGAGAGAGACAAAGAGAGAGAGAGACACAGAGAGAGAGACACAAAGAGAGAGAGAGAGACACAAAGAGAGAGAGAGAGACAAAGAGAGAGACAAAGAGAGAGACAAAGAGAGAGAGACAAAGAGAGAGAGAGAGAGAGACAAAGAGAGAGAGAGAGACAAAGAGAGAGAGAGAGACAAAGAGAGAGAGAGAGAGAGACAAAGAGAGAGAGAGACAAAGAGAGAGAGACAAAGAGAGAGAGAGACAAAGAGAGAGAAAAAAAGAAAGAGGCAAAGAGAGAGAGAGAGAGGCAAAGAGAGAGAGAGAGGCAAAGAGAGAGAGAGAGAGAGGCAAAGAGAGAGAGAGAGGGGCAAAGAGAGAGAGAGGGGCAAAGAGAGAGAGAGAGAGAAAGAAAGGAGGCACAGAGAGAGAGAAAGAAAGAGGCAGAGAGAGAGGCAAAGAGAGAGAGGCAAAGAGGGAGAGAGAGGCAAAGAGAGAGAGAGGGAAAGACTCAAAGAGAGAGAAGGAAAGAGATTCAAACCAATAAAAGTCAAACATTTTAAAAACATTTAACATGAGCGTGTTTATGTATTATCTTTTACTGTACACTAATTTTATTTGTTTGTGCATAGGCATGGAAATAGGCATGGAAATAGGTAACCAACTACGTGGTTAGTCTCAAGTATACATTCCAGTTCTGGGTTTGTGTTGTTTTATGCAAGCTTTTGTGAACAGATCTTCAACCACCTAGATTTAGAAACATTTACTATAAAACTGCTCCAGTCAGCTAGCAGAATATTCAGGGAAAAACCTAACAAACAAAACCACTATGCCAAAGTCATACATTCCAATCAATTTAGTTGAAAGTGCATTTAAACCCAAAGACACAAAATGACTATATTGCAGATGATCAGTTCCTAAATGTGGTGGCTGCATAAGTTTTTTTTTTTTGGTGATCCTTCCAGTAACACTTTCTATGCTCAGTAACCTGTCATATCTCTATAGGTGTGGAGCACTGTCACCCTAAGACAGATCTAGGCACGTCTGCCGCGTTTGTACGAGCAGAAACGCAGTGCAAAACCGCATGACTTGCTGGCCGCGTTTGGTGTGCCATTAGAAATGAATGTGTTTCGCGTTTCTGCGAGTTTCCGCAAATGCACACCGATTGTGCCCAAAAACAATCGAATCTCTGCGCCCGCTTGAAATTTGCAGGTGTGAACCAGGCGTAAGAGTTCCCCCCGTGTAGGACTGGAGATTCTTGCCATTTTGTGCAACCTTCTCCATTTTATAAAGCTTGCAGTTGAGATTCATCAGAAGTGTGAATTATTTCTGTCATCAGGCCGGTGAATAGTTGGAATGCCTCATATTAAATTTCTTGCTGTTTTTTGATGGTGAAAGTTGCATATTCTCTGGTCTGAGTATCTGCATGCTTAGGAACATGGGGTTATTGGTTGCCAGAGGGATTTTTAAAGCAGGACTGACATACCATACCAGGTTAAAATTGGAGGCAATATGAACGTATTCTATGCTTCATGTCTATGCCAAATTGTCAGGTTTGACTACAGTATATCTTTAATTAAAAAAAAAAAGTAAAATGTTTCCCATAGATTAGCCAATATATTTACACCCAGGTCTGCCCAGCTTTCAAAAATGCACCTTAAAAATATGCATAGTCCCCAGCTAAATTATTAAGAGGCATGATTATTCTCATTAAAAACAGCCTATACTCACCCCAGGATTGTGCCAGCTTCTTTGGATCGGTAAATGTCACATCTATGTAGGGGGCCTGTGTGTTTGGCTGCTGCGCATAGTGTCTTGTGGTAGAGAGAGAGAGAGACAAAGAGAGAGAGAGAGACAAAGAGAGAGAGAGAGACAAAGAGAGAGAGAGAGACAAAGAGAGAGAGAGAGAGAGACAAAGAGAGAGAGAGACAAAGAGAGAGAGAGACAAAGAGAGAGAGACAAAGAGAGAGAGAGACAAAGAGAGAGAAAAAAAGAAAGAGGCAAAGAGAGAGAGAGAGAGGCAAAGAGAGAGAGAGAGGCAAAGAGAGAGAGAGAGAGAGGCAAAGAGAGAGAGAGAGGGGCAAAGAGAGAGAGAGGGGCAAAGAGAGAGAGAGAGAGAAAGAAAGGAGGCACAGAGAGAGAGAAAGAAAGAGGCAGAGAGAGAGGCAAAGAGAGAGAGGCAAAGAGGGAGAGAGAGGCAAAGAGAGAGAGAGGGAAAGACTCAAAGAGAGAGAAGGAAAGAGATTCAAACCAATAAAAGTCAAACATTTTAAAAACATTTAACATGAGCGTGTTTATGTATTATCTTGTACTGTACACTAATTTTATTTGTTTGTGCATAGGCATGGAAATAGGCATGGAAATAGGTAACCAACTACGTGGTTAGTCTCAAGTATACATTCCAGTTCTGGGTTTGTGTTGTTTTATGCAAGCTTTTGTGAACAGATCTTCAACCACCTAGATTTAGAAACATTTACTATAAAACTGCTCCAGTCAGCTAGCAGAATATTCAGGGAAAAACCTAACAAACAAAACCACTATGCCAAAGTCATACATTCCAATCAATTTAGTTGAAAGTGCATTTAAACCCAAAGACACAAAATGACTATATTGCAGATGATCAGTTCCTAAATGTGGTGGCTGCATAAGTTTTTTTTTTTTGGTGATCCTTCCAGTAACACTTTCTATGCTCAGTAACCTGTCATATCTCTATAGGTGTGGAGCACTGTCACCCTAAGACAGATCTAGGCACGTCTGCCGCGTTTGTACGAGCAGAAACGCAGTGCAAAACCGCATGACTTGCTGGCCGCGTTTGGTGTGCCATTAGAAATGAATGTGTTTCGCGTTTCTGCGAGTTTCCGCAAATGCACACCGATTGTGCCCAAAAACAATCGAATCTCTGCGCCCGCTTGAAATTTGCAGGTGTGAACCAGGCGTAAGAGTTCCCCCCGTGTAGGACTGGAGATTCTTGCCATTTTGTGCAACCTTCTCCATTTTATAAAGCTTGCAGTTGAGATTCATCAGAAGTGTGAATTATTTCTGTCATCAGGCCGGTGAATAGTTGGAATGCCTCATATTAAATTTCTTGCTGTTTTTTGATGGTGAAAGTTGCATATTCTCTGGTCTGAGTATCTGCATGCTTAGGAACATGGGGTTATTGGTTGCCAGAGGGATTTTTAAAGCAGGACTGACATACCATACCAGGTTAAAATTGGAGGCAATATGAACGTATTCTATGCTTCATGTCTATGCCAAATTGTCAGGTTTGACTACAGTATATCTTTAATTAAAAAAAAAAAGTAAAATGTTTCCCATAGATTAGCCAATATATTTACACCCAGGTCTGCCCAGCTTTCAAAAATGCACCTTAAAAATATGCATAGTCCCCAGCTAAATTATTAAGAGGCATGATTATTCTCATTAAAAACAGCCTATACTCACCCCAGGATTGTGCCAGCTTCTTTGGATCGGTAAATGTCACATCTATGTAGGGGGCCTGTGTGTTTGGCTGCTGCGCATAGTGTCTTGTGGAACTGGAACTGCAGTACAAAGCTCACAAAGTATCTAAAAGACAGAACACATTGTGTTTATTGCTATTATGGAAAACACAAATTGTGTTTTTCAATATATTAAGAATATTTTGCTTTAATGTAAAACATACTGATTGCTTAGAGTAGAAACATCTGCATATCAGAGAGATGGTGGCAGTACAGGTTATTTCATGCAGGATGTGAGCCACCACCAAAACATGTTCTTACCTGATGTATGGGGTGTTGCCTGGAATGTGGAATTTTGCACCAGGATCAAATTCAACATCATTTCTTGGCAAAGGAGGGCATATTCCTTGATACTTAGTCCTAAAATACATATTGACTACATTATAGGATACATATTCACTACATTAAGGGTTAATAATACAATAATATTGTACCAGTCATTTTAAAGTGTTGCAAGAGAAAAATCACTTAACCAAACAAAATGTATTTAAAGTAGATGAAGTATATCAGAGTCCAAGGGTATCTCACATATTGTAGAGATAACAGAGTCTGTTTCAGATACCCCTTTTAAATGTAATTTGCTTCTCTGAGGTCCCATTGACATAGCTGCAACTCAGATGCACTTTAATGGGAAGGGTAAGTAAAACTACATGCATTTATAAAAGGTACTACACTAATCCTGATGTAGGTATGCTGTGGTCAGTGAGCATTTTCTTTTATATGCAGTGGAAGACTAGAAACCTTTTCACTGCACTGGGATCTGCTGGAAACCACCTTCATTGTTGACCTACAGATGTGCAGTGTTGTAAATAGGCCTGAGAGCGTCTCTGGGCATGGCCTATTCTCTACTCTGGGTGGATTGCAGTCACAGTTACTCTTTATGGAAGCAAGTGGTAGATATTAGACCCCTGATGTCTCCTCTGCCTCCAGCAAGTACAGATTGGGGATACAAAGTTCCTGATTTGCAATGTACCTGGCTGCTGCCATTGGGGCACTTAACCTATGAACTCCCAAAGGCCTCAGAGCTCATTTATTCAGCACAGAGGAGTTCAGCGAATAGGATTTTACCATTCTCCTGCTGCTCTCCATCCTGCATCTCCCTGCAGTGGTCTCAGGCTCATAAAGAAGCCAAGTGAGCCCAAGGACCAACAGGCTTTGTGCAGCTCTTTTGCCAGATGGGTGCCAAAAATCAGCAAGGTAGAGAAGACCACTGCAGGACTTTCTTCTGCCAATCTTATAGGCAGAAAAAAGTGGGGGGAGGGGAAGTAAAATAAAGTTTAGTATGAGCTACTAGGAAGGGCAGTATTAAAGTTAACCGGTTTGCCCTACATGCGCACAGCACATGTTCACTTAACTGTGGGTGCAGAGTTCTGTTTATGGAGGTTTTTCTAGTCTTTTGTTTTTCTCTATAGGTTAAACTTGCACTTGTGTATGTTTTTCCAACCTGACTATGTAACTAAAAAGGTAGTGCTTTGGGGGTAATTATGCTGCCTTCTATACGTAATAGAAAGTGCTATACTGTATATCAGTTATGTGTAACAAACTGCTGACAAGCCACATTTAATTAGCCCACTTCTGTTACCATCCAAACTCTACCTGAGATTCCACCAGTCGTAGTTGTATCGACTGGCAGGAGTCCGTCCATTGAAAACATTCCACCTCCACTGGTCAATCAAGTAGCCAAAAGGCAAGAAGGCAATTTTCTCCAAAGCCATCTTAAGGAGGTAATTAATATCGCTCTCTAAGAAAGAAACACATAAAAGGGTTTGTTTTAAATGTATAAGGTCAATACAAACAATTTCTGATAAACTTGTGGACTGTCTGTACTTGTAAAGCATCTTTGGGGGCTTTTGTGTCATATCAGGGCACGCAGGAACATAAACAAAGATTTTTTTGACACAACTGTGTCAGATTTCTTTTATTTCAGAGACATGAACAAATCATATTGAGAATAACTGAAAAGGACATGCAGCAATTCTGTTTTCCTTCTATAAAGCATACAATGCGAGCACATCATGAATAAATAGACGTAGACACACCCCACTGGCCCAGAAACAGTGGACCCACTCTGCAGACCCTGTAGTTACAGCCTAGTTCATACCATTTTCTCAGAAGACAGGGTTTTCTACTTACTCCCGGAGTTTGGAAATCCCAATTCATTATGAGGTTATGATAAAACTACTAACCTGGATCTTCTGTGACGTCACTGAGCAAGCCAATAGTTTTCAGATGTCCTGGAGTGGATACAGATAGAGACAGCACATCCCCTATAGCTTCATGGAAACCTGGATTAGCACCTCTGCGGAATGTGACTGGCTGGTCTTTATACTGCAGGTAATACTCCACATGTCCCATCTCATGGTGGACAGTGAACAATTGCTCCATGGTAACCGTAGTACACTGCTTGATCCTTTGGACAAAAGAAACAATTTCTTGTAGTGATTTACATTAATACAAGCATGGTATTTTCATTTTTCTCTGCTGTAAACCTTGAGGATGTGTATTTGTCCCTGGATTCTAGCTACACTCAAGGCCTCATTAGTAAAACTGGTACATGGAGAGCAATGTAATTTTGTTGTTGTAGATCAGTGAAGTTAAAAAAAACAAACAAAAAAACTGGAGCTCATTTCATTTTCCAGAAGACTTAACTCTAGTCTAATTAAGAAAATATGTATTCAAAGCAGATGCTGTCAAAATCATTCTATATAACCAATTAACATACTTATGTTCCTTGCAACAGGAGAACCACTAATCTGACACTTAGTACTGTATGCCAGTAAAACAATTATTACGCCTGTGGCCTATAATTTTAACTACATTATGCCAGTTTACAGCAAAGTGCACATAGAGTGGTATAGGGCAAACTGGTTTTCATTTGAGTGTACATTTTTAGTTTAAAGCCAGCCATGTTGGGGAAAAATTGCTACATAACAATAATACAAATAGTAACACACACACACACACACACACACACACACACACACATGAATGAGGGGGCACAAAGTCTTTTTTGCTGCCTGGTGAAAGTATGTAATCAGTTTAGATGCAAGCAATGCTTTTGTGGACACAAAAAAAAAAGTGTTTGAAAAGAAAACTGTTGTCATTGCAGCCAACTGGATTCCCGATACTAGCTTTGGTAATAGAATACAATTTTAAGAAAATGAGAATATAGTGCAGCACTTGGGACATAAAATCACTCTTGTAGTGTATGACTCACCTGAAGTCTTTTCTGTTGTAGAAGTCCCATGCAGAGGCATGACACACCACCTCCCGACCATCTGCAGGCTTCTCCAGCATAGACTTCTGCCAGAATTCTGGTGGCATCTCTAGCAGACCCAGAGAGGTGAAGAATTCTTCTGAGACCTGAAACATGTAGGTGGCGTTCCAACCCTACAGAGTGCGAAAAAAACCACCCAAATCCCTATTTATTTAAAGTGCAACCTTATCCAAAACGTTAGGTTATAGGTAGAGTGAAAGCGGTGTTTCATTCCCTGCCTAGCTTTTGCTGGGATCTCCACCACCCAAAACAGCCATGATAGCCAGTGCTCTACTTTCAGTAGAACCTTTTAGTGTGTGGATAACCAAACTGGCTTAACAGAATTACAAACCTTTTCGACATGTAATTGAGATTACACACATGTATTTTAACCAAGCCTGCTTGGAGTTCAACTTTGCTAGTTTACCTTTTCCCTCATAGTGCTGGTTACATCCACATTAGTCTTGTCAGGGAAGGGAATCATCATATCATAGATATTATTCCACGTTTGCGACCACATGTTACCTGTAGATTGACATCAGTCAGTCAACACAAGAAAAAACAATCTATGGAAAGTCAGCAGAAAACAGTATTTTATTATTGGCTTATACACTGTTTTGGTACCGTTTCTTATTTGTGTTTTTCCATGGTGCTGTCCAGGACTTTGTGGGTGAGATTTCCCCTCACTTCTCAGTTAAGAGACTTCATATGGCTGTTCAGCCTAAATAACGTCTTAACCTGTTTGTTTGCAAATTATTTTTATGTGCATTACTTTTATCTCGCATGTGCAGGAGTTGCATCATCACTGGCCACCCAGGGGCCATAAAAAAGAAAGTCACTATGTGCAGAAGAATTGGAGAGGATGGCTGTCCCCAATCTACTGTCTGTATACACCTCTACTTTGTACTTCCCAGGTGCAGAACAAATAAATTATTTCTAGTGGAGAGCCATTCATAACACACATGGTAAAGTGGAGTAAGTAGCTCCCAAAAAAGTAATCCTATATTTGTCTGACTACAATGAACAGCAATGAGCCATAATCTGGTTGCTATACGTCACATCATATCAATACACGTACCATCACAGCAATATATTTAGCACTAGGTTAAAAAATACAAAAAAAAAAACCTAGAAGCCCCGAGGGTCCACTTGCATCACTGTGTTCTCATTTGTATCTGCAAACTCACCTAATAGGTGTGCAGGAATTGGGCCTTGGAGGTTTATGTATTTTTCTCCATATCTTTCATAGAGTTTTCTGCGGACAAAGGCATGGAGATTGAGATACAGGGGCTCCAGTTGATGATAAAGCTCCTCCAGGTCATTCTCAAAAGTGGATGAGGTGTACCAAGAGCGCCAGTATGCTCCGGTGTCTGTGAATCCTGTCGAGAAAAAGAACCAACATTACTTCATCCCAACATACATCTTTCCTCACAATGTTTCAAGGGTTACAGACCAAAATTATCGAATAACTGTATTACTACAAGAGCAGGACATTACACATCAGCTCCACTAGAGGGAAACAGTCAACCGGAAATTCATATAATTTAGGGTTAGTGTTATAAAAAGGATAGCTGTGCTATCTTATACTTGTGTTATCCTGATATCTTATGTTTAATCTTTATTCTGCCACTTGTAATAGCAACTTATTTTGCAGCAAAATGTCCAAAAGGTGCCAATCCTGAAAAACAGTTAAAATACAGTATATAAATACTTGCCAGATGGTACTTTGTGCCAGCCACGCTCCTCAAGATGTTCCCTCAATCCCCACCAACTTGCTGGCGATGTGAGCAACAGGTTGGCTCTATTATGCACATCTTTTGGTCTTGCCCACGCCTCGGAGAGTTTTGGGATACTGTCCTCCGAGAAATCAACCAACTCACTGGGATTTCCTTAATTGATGACCCAGCGGCAGTCCTGCTCCACCTGACCCCACTCTCCAAGTCTCGGTACCGCAATTCCCTTCTAATCCATCTAATTAATGCGGCTAGGACTTGTATACCGATGTGCTGGAAAAGTCCAGACCCACCCTTGGTGAAAATGTGGCTCAAAAAAGTGGATGAGATCTGTGTGATGGAGGAGCTGACCGCCACTCCATCATACCGCTACCAAATTCAGGAAAACTTGGTTCTACTGGCTGGGATTTCTCATGTCCCCGGAATATAGTACCCTGATGGTTACTTGAATTGCTTCTTACCACTAAGCAGGAGCTACCCTCGCTGGATCCTACAATCTGCTTTTCCATATGTTTCTGCTTCTGTCCTTCCTTTCCCCTACGCGTTTGTGGTCTGCATTTCAGTACATGTCATCCACATGTCTGTGGGTAGGTTTTCTTGTCTATACGTCTGCAGTCTAGAGTATTGTAATCTCATAGTTGGGTGTGAGCTTCACTCACATTTCTCATCTCTTCACTCACATTTCTCATCTCTTCAACCCTGTATTCCCGCTTACCCTTGTACTGACTTCCCTTCTTGCCTCACAGAGGTTAGTAATTGCACAGCGCCCACATGTGGAATTAGCCTGCGTTCCCAAGCTTACACCGACTGCAATTAGGTTCATGTGATCATCGCGTCTCTTGCGCCATCTGAGACGCGACGCTGCCACAGTGGTTTCCATTTTATGTTGCTTTCAGACCTTTTGTGTACCCCTACAACGCTCAGGGTTTTCTTGCTCTTGGGCTGGAAAAGCCCAACTATAGTCTGATATTCGGTGAATATGCTTAAGCAGTGATGTGTTTGTTCTCTACCTATGTTTTTTTTTTTCTTGTGTTATGAAAACTTTATTTTAAAGAATTAAAAAGGAGAACTATGGGGTCAGTGTTTTTCCCCATAGTTCTCCTTAGGGTAACGGGAGGACACAAACTAGCGTCCTCCCGTTACCCTAAGCTCAGTATACCGCGACCTACAGCTCCCGGTATACTGAGACGCCGCAGCCGGAGCGGATCCCGACGTAGATGACGGGATCCGCCCAGCTGTGTGAGTGACAGCTGGCTCTGCCTATCTAGAGGCAGAGCCAGCTGTACCCGCCCCCTCCCCCGTCCGTTCCGCCAGTCAGCGCTGGCAGATCGGAGCGGGGAGAGGGGAATCCAGTCCCTCCCCTGTCACGGCAGAGAGCCGTGACAGGATCGAGAGGTGAGCGAACCTGGTATGTGTTCGATCATCTCCCGATCTACTGAGCCGACCTGTGACAGTCTCATTGTCACAGGTCGGCTAGAACTATGAGGTGAGTGGAAATCACTCATCTCATAGTTCTCCTTTAAAAATAAATATTATTAAAAATAAAATACAGTATATGCAAAAAAAATTAAATAGTGGTGCTGCAGGATAGATGCAGCTATCCCTAAAAGAGAAACTACAATGAGGGGAATTTATCAAAACTGGAGCAAATTAAAGCTGTGACTAGATGATCCTCAGGTTTGACTTCAGCCCTTCTATACAGTTAACCTCACAGTTTAGTTTTCCTAATCAGCCCCCCTAATGGGGCTCCCTTATTCCCCCAGGCCCCATAGTGTGCGCTGCTGTGGCTATTGTTACACGACCGTCTACAGCTCTACCTGTTGGCTCAAAAATAGAAGTGCCTAGCCCCAAAGATGTAGAGTAGGATTACCAAAAGGTACTGCCTCTGACTGCTAGTCTCGCAAAACTGAGTGAAATTTGGTGAGGTCACTAATGTATTGCCTGCTGCAGAGGAATCTGTATCCCCAAGACCTGCATTGCATGTCGCTTCCTGCTTTTTCTTAATTTATTCTACGGATCTAAATTGTAGTTTTTCCCCAGAAAAGGGGATCCCATCATTCCTTCAAACAGTCTAACGAGCATTTATAAAAATATATATTTATTAATTGTAGAAATACTAAAAATGGTTATACACAACATAACATTTCCTAGATATCACAAGTATCAAAAATATCAAAAAATATATCAAAAGAAATAAAAAAAACACACAAAATGCAAAAAATGCAAAAAATGCATTCAGCTAATAAATCTTTAGCAAATATATTATGGAACAAATAGTGTGGAGGCACACCGCGTAGAACGCCTACTGTTCTCAGATGACAGAAAAAGCTGGTATCAAAGATGTGTGTATATATATATATCTATTTTTTTGGTGTTAAATGTCTCCATATGGACGAAAAAAAGGAACCATATTCATGGAAAAAAGAAGAGAGCTCTTTATTTCAAAAATATGGCATGCATATGTATGAAAAGCGGCATTTATCAGGAATTAGAGTTATAAGAAAAAAAGAGATTTAACTCACAATGGAATGTGTCCTCATTTGAAGGATCGACTTGGAAAAGAGAAAAAGAGAAAAGAACGGAGTTATAGGGACATTTTCTTTAAATTGAGAAAGACCTATGAAAATAAATCTCGCCTGTTCTGGAACAAACTATATTTAGAAAAATATATAGAACAGGACCTATGCCCACAAGGCCTAAGATTACAGGTCATTCCTAATATAAAGGATATTTCGGATGAATTGAGAAAATGGGAGTACAATTTCAATGTTTGCAGCAGCAGAAACATGCTGACAATGCTGGTGGAATACTATGAAGTAGAATTAAAACAAGTTAACACCCAGATCCAAGATTTAGTATTAGACCTAGAAAGCTATAAAACAATCGACTGATTTTGATACATCCATGAAAACTCTAGAACAACAAATAGAAACCTATAATAGAGAACTAGTAGAAACAAAAGAACATAAATTTGAAAGGGATAAAGACGCTTTTCTCCATGATAGGGCCTACAAATGGGAACATCTTAATAAAAATAGAAAATGGGAAAATAAAAACCCCCATTTCTCCCGACATAAAACAACACAAAGAGATAGAGGTGAGCCCTTGTCTGCGGGGACAGAATCGTGCCCTTCCTCTGCAGAGGACTCCAACACTGTGTAATGATTGAGCGAGTTTGGCTGAGGATCTCAGCTGCGGAGAGGCTTTGTGGATGGCTCAGGTGGGGGGGTTCACACTTACACTCTTTAGTGTGGCTGAGTGAGGTTGGAACCCTTAACACATCATATGCCACCACAGGCTGTAATTGCAGAGATAACAATAAGTGAACCTTCCCTCTGTGCAATATTGTGGTTAGTTGGGGCCTGTGGGGATTTGTAGTTCAAAATAAAGTAGTTCACTCCATGAATGCAAAAAACTATAGCAACTACAGCAACTTGGCAGAGGAAAGAAAAGTAGTCCCGTATTTGTTTTGGTATACAGTAGTTCACTCCACTAATGCATAACACTATTGCAGGCTTATCAAACCGTAATTAGGAGTACTCCTGAACAAGCCCCCTTTGTAGAGCAGTGTCTCTTTAAACCCCACTGAGTTGCAGGCAATGTAAACAATTACAGGGTTCAGGATGGTACTTGCGGTTTGTTGGGGTATTCAGAGCCCTCCAGGAGTACAGGGCGAAGGATCACTGCTGTGCTGGAAGAAGTCCGGATTAATGCTGCTGGAGTGAAAGGTTCACGTGCTGGAGCAGAGGTATGAGCCCTAAGAAATTGCTCAACGTTCTACCTCGCTAGAACATTGAGCAAGTGTAACTTCCAGGCTTTTATGAGTAGGCAGGTGTGTTGGGGCGGAGCAGTCAGCAGAGGCCCTCCCGAACGTCTCCTAGCAACAGGATGCTTCCGAAGGGCCAGGCTGCTACGCCCTCACTCCTATGTGTGACGAGTCCGAGGGAGACGTCTAGAGGGAGGAGCCGAATATGCAAGTCTGCCGGCCCGTCTCCTAGCAACGAGACGGCGCCGCGGTTCGTGACACACTGTCTCCCAAAAAGGATACAACACTCGTTCTCAAACGCAGAGATACAAAAAGGTCAAAATCACAGAAACCCGAATTATGCACCCAATCGAAGATATACCAATAGTCAAACTGATCAAAGACAGATGACCGTCCTACCCTCCGATATACTTAATGAAGGAGGAGCTACAGGTTTTGATAAAGATTTCTTAGACAACCCCCCCACAACTCAAACTTTTTTCAACAGAATAGGTCCCAGCATAGATATAAATGGGAAAGAAGGACTCCCGCACTTAGAAAACATCCCAAACACACTTCCCAAAAAAACCATGTGGGATCAGTACATGACTAAACGTCACCATTGAATAGCCTACAAATTATTAATTTGACTCCTTTTGTTTTCTCTAGAGATCAATTAAACTTAATATCTAAAGGCCTAACTTTCTGAAACATCTCCAGATAAGTTCGATATTATTAAAGATGTTAACCTTTTTGCCCAAAAATTACTACTAAAACAAATCCATGATAAAAGTAATAAACCACTAGGAGGAATTATAAAAGATTGGAAGGACTTCTCAAGTAGAGACTACCAGGCTCTAAGAGACCTTCAGGATTTATGTGCAGAAGGACACATTTCCGA